GGCAAGCTTCTGCCTGTTCCACAAACACTCACCCTTACCTTGTACCCCAAGTGCAGCTGCGTGTGTCTTCATTGCAGCATCGTCCCTCAGGATGATGGCCCGCCACAGCTGGCACAGGGAGGATCGCTCCCTGCAGGAAGGCCTAACTGAGCGTCAAGCTGCAGGAGGAGGGTCCCAAGGAAGGTCTGACCCCTCATGCCTGGCCCCATCTTACTTCTCATCCAGGAACTGGTAGAGCCCGTGGTCCAGGAGCACCAGCTCTGCTTTTCCATCTGGACCTTTCCGCACCAGAACTAGGAACACAGCATGTCAGCTCAAGCCACCCCTCTGAGATCCCACCCTGGGGCCTTTCCTACCATTGCCAGGGTGGGGGTCAGAGTGGATGAAGCCAGTGTAGAATATCTGTTCAGCAAAAGCCTGGATCAGCTTCTTTGCTACCTAGGGAGAGCATAGGGAATCCATGGCAGCACCCACTACCTAGCACCCACTGCCCTGCCCCAGCATGTGATACTCACGTCCTGCACCGCCAGCCCCTGCTCCTTGATGGCCTCCATGTCATTCACTTTGCAGCCCTCACAGAAGTCAGCTGTCAGCACCCGCTGGGAGAGCAAGAGGCCGCATGAGCTCAGCAGGCCTATGTTGCCCCACCCTCAGGGAAGGCTCTACCCAGCTCACCTTGCTGGACTTGTCCCAGTGCACCCGAGGGACAACAATATAACGGAAGTGCTTTAGCTCCTGAGCACAGCGCTCAGCATTTCGGCCCTCATTCTCGAAGTCCAGCTCCTGGGCCAGGGTCCCCTTCAGATCCTAGAGGTCATATGCAGGCAGACAGGTCAGTCACACGTTTAGCATTTACCACTAGCCGCCACTCCCCTACCTGCTATGGGTGGCACTACCTGTAGGACCCAGCTGAAGCTGAAGCTGGGGTGCATGAGCCCTATGAGCTGCAGCAGGAGTTCCAGTGTGTGCACATCCCCATCAAAGCGGTCTCGTAGGTCGATGTACTGTACCTGCAGTAGGCCAGGGGACACTGAGATCCAGGGTTACTGCTGGCCCAGCATCCATCTAGTGTGCAGCGGCATAGATACCTTGACAGCCACAGAGGTGCCATCATGGAGCTTGGCACGGTGCACCTGAGCCAGGCTTGCAGCAGCCATCGGCTGATAGTCGAACTCCTGGAAGAGCTCACTGGGCAGTGCCTGGAAGTCTTCAAGGAACAACTCATCCACCTGGCAAGAATGACCTTGGAGTCACTTCCAGGGCTGCAGTGGCAGGCAGCCCCCTTTCCTCCTCCCCATCATTGGGCTCACCTCCCGGAAGCCCCGAGTAAGAGCTTTGTCCTCCAACACACGTAATGTCTGGATGTACTCGGGTGGCAGCAGGTGGTTGAAGGAGCACAGCCCTTGACCCAGTTTCACGTAGAGGCCCCCATTGCGGATGGCTCCTGCCACCAGGGCGTCAGCCGCACGCTGGTGACATGCAGACATCACCTCCACATACTCCAGGCTGTTCTGACCACAGGCATGGAGGAAAGGCTGGGGATGGGTGGCCAGTCCTTGGTCCCCCCCAGCACCCCTACCTCCAGTGTTCCCCCTCCCTGCATGTGCTCAAGATATGAGGACAGACCTCTGCCACTCCTTGGAGGACAACATTTGTGCACCACCAGTAGTCCAGGGAAATGAGGAGACCAACCTTCAGAGACCTGCAGGCAGAAGTAGCTTAAGCCCCAGGCAGGCTGGGGATTGGGTTGGTTCCTGTGGGCCCTGCTGCTGGGCCCTTCTGCCGTAAGCCCAAAGTCTGGCCTCACCCACCAGCCTCTACCCAAGGTGAGGCTGGGCTCACGTTCAGCCTCTAGTTACACGGACCCTTATGAGCTAATGAAATACTACTCATGCCAGCATCCTTCGGGTGCCCAGACAGACTGCTGAGAGTTAGTGGGGAGAGGAATGAGACAGGGTCTTAGTATATAGCCCTGAGTGGTCTAAAGCTCACTATGTAGAGTGGGCTAGTATCAAACACAGGACATGAGATTGCTCTGCCTTGCAATGCTGAGATTAAGGGTATGAGCCGCAATACTCAGCCATTTTCAGATACCTGAAATAACTACAAAACAGAAAAGGAAGTAGAACTGTTAGCAGTTTCCCTCAATCCCAGGTCCTCCTGAAGGAGGACCACAAGACCTGGAAGGATTTAGCAATACCCTGTCTCAAAAGTTTCAAAAAAAACTTGGTGTAGTGGTGGTGCGTGCCTTTAATCCCAGGACCTGAGAGACAGAGGCAGGGGAATCTTTGTAAATAAAAGGCCAGCATGATCTACTTAACAAGTTCTAGGCTAGCCAGAGCTACAGAGTAAACCTTGTCTCAAAAAATATGTTGGCTGGATGGTGGTGGCACATGCCTAATACCAGCACATAGCTCACATCTCTGTGAGACTAGCCTGGGCTGCAGAGCCAGTTCCAGGACACCCAAAGCTACGCAGAGAAACCATGTCTTGAAAAACAAACAAGTAGTGGCACATGCCTTTAATCCCAGCTCAAGGGAAGCGATTCTCTATGAGTTTGAGGCCAGCCTGGTCTACAAGAGCTAGTTCTAGGACAACAGGCTCCAAAGCTACAGAGAAATCCTGTCTCAAAAAACCAAAACCAAAACCAAAACAAAACAAAAAAGTTAAAAGAAGAGGCTGGGAGACGCAGAGAACCTGGAGATCCAGGAAAACCCATGTTTGACTGTCCCCCCACACCTGGCCACAGCCCAACTTGGCCTAGCAGTGAGCTGTGAAGCTCATTTCCTATCAGTCAGGGTGGGCTTCACAGGGCAGTTGTCAGGGACCTGCAAGCCCCCTGCACAGAGGGGTGAGAGCAGCAGAAAGAGAGAAAGGGCACTAGGCTCTGTTCTCACCAGTCGCAGGGCTGTGAGAACTCGGGACCCACAGAACACAGGAAACTGTTCAGCCTGTCAGTAGGGATGCCTCAGAGTTCCAGGCAGGACCACCCAGGACAGGTGTGGGGGGGCCTCAAGGCTGGAAACAGGTATCCAACCACAGACATGCCCGAGGACTAGCTGCGATAAATCTCAGGGACACAGAGATCCACCTGTCTCTGCCTACCAAGTGCTGGGATTAAAGGTGTGCGCCACCACTGCCGGGCTTCAGTGACATTTCTTGTAAGATGCCTAAGGACCCTGGGACCAAAGCCTTCCCGAGGAGGCAGCACCAGCTCAGGGAGGGGCAGCGCTTAGAGCTATGTGGAGCAAGAGGACAGACATCCTGCACCATGGGACCCTGACCCTGACCACTACAGCTCAACCACTCGGGTTAAGAAGCTTTCTCATTAGCAAAGTCAATGAGGCTGGGCCAGAATCTGCAAGAATTTCCTCCGTAGGAGGGGAAGGAACTTTGTAAAACCCTTTGGGACTGTGCTAGGAGTGAAGAGTCAGTTCCACCCAGGCCCAAGCCTCTACGGCTGCAACACCAGGTTCCCTTGCATGGTAGGGAGGGTAGAACAGGGCAGCTTCCTTATGTCAGGGGTTGAAGCCCTTGCCCTTAAAGCCAATGGCTGATCTGGTAAAGTCTGTGGGAGAACTGTCCCCTGTCCTGTCTACATGTTGCTGCATGCTAACCGCAAAGTCCCAGAAGAAAGACCCCCCACAGCCCTTGGGAGAGAGGAATGTGGAGAATGGCATCCCACCCAAGCTACACCAGGTTTGGCACAGCCTCCTACCTGCCAAAGCGCCCAATGCCGTCTACCGCGAGTCGCAGTTTCCTCTTCTCCTGCGCCTCTGCCATGAAATAGCGGGCTCCGAGGAGCAAGGGCACCCCCACCGCAGTGGCAGAGAGTGTCCTCCTCCACAGCAGCCTGGTTTTTGAGGTCCTGAGAGGAGACATAGCAGGTGATGGAAGTGTTGCTCCCTACAAGGGAGCTGAGGCCTCAGCTTCCCTCTTTCCTGGAGTCCTGTCTAGGGGCCATGTAGCCACCAGAGGACACCCAACACAGGGCCCTTTTCCTAGACCTCATGACAGCACAGAAGCCAGATGCTGGGGAAGAAGGTCTTATTTGGCTGTCTCTTGGGCAGGTCAGTCCAAATCTGCATTCTGCAGACTGGACCACCATCCCTACTGTGATGGTGTGAGAGATCCTAATGGAAGTGAGACTTAGTACTGCTAAAGTCAGCACCAACCAAACTGAGCAAGAACTTAAAACAGGAATAGACTAGATCCCATACTGCCCACGACAGCAAACATCCCCATACGCTGAGAACAACAGCAAGAACATCGCTTGTGTTCATACACAGCCTCCTCTCTGCCACGGCACACTAAAAGAAAGGGTCTTCCAGCCGGATGGTGGTGCTCATACCTTTAATCCCAGCACACAAAAAGCAGAGACAGGTGGTTCTCTGTGAGTCTGAGGACAGCCTGGTCTACAGAGAGTTCCAGGACAGCCAGGGCTACACAAAGAAATCCTATCTCAAAAAACAAACAAGAAAAAAAAAATGAGTGGGAAGGAGGGAGAGAGAAGAAAAAAGGTGGGCTTCCTCCTTCTCGTAGAGCCATGCGGTCCCCACACCTTTTCTGCTGTCCTCAGCCCTTGCCTGATGCCCCACCAAGGCACTCCCACTCCCTGTGTATCTGATGGAATGAGCACCCCAATTTGTAGTCCTCCTAGTGTGTGTGTGTGCTCATCATAAAGTTCTTGTGGGGAGCACCTGTCTCTACAGTGTGACCAATCACAGGTCATAACCCCGTGGCCTCGGGTTCCAAGACATCACAGACATAAACACATCCTGTTTTTGGGGTACAGGAGAAAAGTTCCAGTGTGGGGGGCCTCCTCATCATTGTGGTTTCCACAGAGCCGCCATCTGGCTGCAGGGGTCTCATTACCTGGGCAGTGGGCTCTTGAAGTTCCTCCTGAAGAATATGGCAGGGCATGGCCAGGGCTTCTGCCTGTTCTGCAGCAGAGCAGAGTGGAAGTGGCACAGCCGCATCTGGGAAGGAGGCAGACGGCAAGGCTTGGCAGAGGCAGGGACACGGGGTCATGGCCTGGAGCAGAGCTACACCAAACAGTGCACCCCGAACTCTCACTCAGTGCTTCCAGCGCTCCGGGCAGGAAGCTGCCTGGACACCAGTCTTAGCAATGAAGACGCAGGCTGCCTACTGGATGAAGAAGCTGGAGGCAGGAGAAGAAAGGCCTTTCTGAAAATGCCTCATCTTTGAGGGAAGAAAATTCGTCCAGACCTGACTTGTCTGTGATAAGGGCCAACGTCACTTCTGAGGTAGCACCCTTAACCTGTCCTTTACTATTTCTTGGTGCTGACCACTAACCGGTGGCCTCAGGAAGTGGGCCACACCATGGGAGACGTGTCGGCAATGCCCACCCACCGATTCTAAGAGTGTACAGGAGTGCCTTTTGTGTTGGGATCTTGTTCTGAAAGCAAAGAGTCAGGGAGAGCTGAAACTGGAAATCCGGGCCAAGCCACAGCCGGGGAAGTCACAGGCCCAGAGAGGAAGTGCTAGTTGCTGCTCTGTTAAAAGGACATGCTGTGCCCGTCAAACTGTCTTCTAAATGATCACATTCACGTCCATAGTTTAGCGCCACTATCACCACTAGCCACAGAGCTTCTTGCTGCAGCGGGCAGTAATAACTGCACAGACTCAGAACTCATCAAAGTGTTGAGAATAAGCAAGTGTGGCTGTGGAACACTTGGCCTTAAGTGGGACTTCTACATCACCCCTTCCAACGCTCAGGAACACTATGGGAGAGATGAAAGAGCTGAGGATGGGACAGAGTGCTCTGGAATGCTCTTCTCTGGGCACGGCATGGCTACTGCACTCTTGAACACATAGCCTTTGTAAGACTTGCGTAAGACTGGACCCATCAATAGCCTGTCATGGGGAAGAGGGGGCCTCTGCAGTAAACCACTGGTCAGCTGCTCAGGCTCCTGACTCTAGTGACACACACCCCGTGAACGGGAAAGTGGACTAGTTGGAAAGGAGGGGAACATTTAGAGTGGGAAGAGGACAGAGAATAGTGGGAGGGGAATGGAATTAAAATACATTATATACATGCCTGAAAATGCTAGAATGAAATTCACTGTTATGGGCTGGGCATGATAGTACACACCTTTAATCCTAGCGCCTGAAAGGGGCAGGTGGATCTCTGAGTTAGAAGTCAGTCTGATCTACAGTTCAAGGCAGCCAGGGCTATACAATGAGATCCTGCTTCAAAAAAAGGGCTGAGGTCTGGAGAGATGGCTCAGTGGCTAAAAGCACAGGCTGCTCATCTAGAGGAGTTGGGTTTGTATCCCAGTTCCCACATGACAGTTCACAACCATCTAAAACTCCAGTTCCCAGAATCTGCTGCCTGCTCTGGCCTCCGCAGGAACCAAGCATGCAAACAAAACACATAAATTTTTTACAAACTTTTAAGAAGAAACTCATTATTATGTATAATATATACTAATAAAGCATCATCATCATCATTACTTGAGATAGGATCTCATTATATATCCTTGGCTGGCCTGGAACTCAATACATAGATCAGGCTGGCTTCAAACTCACAGAAATCCACCTGTCTCTGCTTTTCAAGTGCTGGGACTAAAGGGGAGCATGAAGCTGGAGGGACAGCTCAGTGGTTTAGAGCACTTCCTGCTCTTCCAGAGGACCAGAGCTTGGTTCTCAGCACCTGGGGGGGGGGGGCAGCCCACAATGGCTGTGACTCCAACTCCAGGGGATCCCAGGCCTCTGGCCTCTTTGGACACTAGCACTCATGTGAACATACCCACATGCAAACACATAAATACCTACACAAAATTAAAGTAATAAATAAATGATAAATCTTTAAAAGCATCATCCCACACCTGGCTATAAAACATTTTTGAAAAGATACAAAGCAAAAAAAGAAAGAAAGAAAGAAAGAAAGAAAGAAAGAAAGAAAGAAAGAAAGAGAGAAAGAGAGAGAGAGAGAAAGAAAAAAGAAAAAATACAAAGCCGGGCACTAGTGGCGTACATCTTTAATCCCAGCTCTCAGGAGGCAGACAGGTGATCTCTGCTTCAAAAAACAAACAAGCAAGCAAACAAGTTTGCACTGGCAGGTGTTGTGGAGCGTGTCTTTAATCCCAGCACTCAGCACTTAAGAAGCAGAGGCTGGAAAGATGACTCAGATGTTAAAAGCTAGGCTCACAACCAAAAACAATAGGTAGAAGCCAGGCAATGGTGGCACATGCCTTTAATCCCAGCACTCGGGAGGCAGAGGCAGGCAGATCTCTGTGAATTCGAGATCTGGTCTACAGGAGCAAGTTCCAGGACAGGATCCAAAGTGACAGAGAAACGCTGTCTTGAAAAACCAATTAAAAAAAAAAAAAAAAGTAGATGTAAGCATGAGATGGTAGACGTTCTGGTCATTGCATAGGTGTAAATGAGGAAACAGGCCCTGCACTCAATGAATATGTATACTTATGGCAGCAGTCACCTGTAAGTCCAGTACCTAGCGGGCAAACAAAGAGAATCACTGAATGTTTGAGGCCAGCTTGGTGTACAAAAGTAACCCCCTGTCTCAAAACAGAAGTAAAAAAGGGGCAGCATGCACAGACCTGGTTCAGTACCCAGCAGCACAAGGCGAAAACGAGTTAAAGACTATTTCCTATAATAACAAAATCCCAGGAAAGGAGGCAGCATTCTTCAAAGGAGGCAGCTATTTTAGGGCAGGGCCCTGACCTAAGAAGACTTTGTGCCCGGGATTAACCTGGCACCAGCTAGGTTGTCATGGAAGAAGGGGGCTTTAAGGACCAGGCAGGTAAAGGCTAGAGATGTCATTCAACCAGCAGAGCAAATGAAGCCCTGGGAGACTCTGGGCAGGCTCCTGGCTACGGCACTATCGTCTATGCAAATGAAGTTTCCTTCAATCAGCTGGTTTCTTGCTTTGGAAAGCAACGGGAGTGACTTACATTCACAAAGGATTCCCGAGCGCACGGAGCACTGCCCACCACACCAAACCTTATGAATACGTGTCCAGCAGGCGAGCACCAAGGCCACACCGGGATCAAAGATTTCCCCACAGAGCACTTCAAGGCTGCCTGTGCCAGCTCCTTGCTGGTGTCCTCAGCTCCCTCCAGTCCTCATACCACTTCCCAGATTGAGAGAATCTGAGAATCAGCTTCCCACTGCTTTTCTTCTCCGTTTTCTTCTTCCTCCTCTTTTTTTCTTTTTCAAGACAGACAGAGTTTCTCTGTGTCTTGAGAAGTTGGCTTGCCCTGCCTTGTCTTGCCCTGGCTGTCCTGAAACTCGGCTCTGTAGACCAGGCTGGCCTCGAATTCATGAGTGCTGGAATTAAAGGTGTGCACCACCTCCTCCAACCCCCAGTTCCCACTGCTTTTTTTTTTTAAGACTTATTTATTTCATGCCTATGAGTGCTCTATCTGCATGTATATCTTTAAGCCAGAAGAGAGCATCAGATCCCACTTTAGATGGTTGTGAGTCACCATGTGGTTGCTGGGAATTGAACTCAGAACCTCTGAAAGAGCAGCCAATGCTCTCAACCGCTGAGCCATCTCTCCAGTCCCCTCCCCCTGCTTTTCAAATGGGAAAAAAAAAAAAAAAAAAAAAAAAAAACCTGGTTTACTTCTCTTAGAAGAGAAATCAGACCATTTCCAACACTAGCAGACAGGTTGCACCTTGAGCACACAGAAAGACACTTTCACTAGCTGGGGCAAAAGAGGACTGGCTGAGATTCCAAGGGGCCATGGAGCAGGGCTGAGAACAGAGAGGCACGGAATGACTAAGGCTGTGATTACTTGAGCCTGATCATCCAGAAGAGGATGCACGAAACTGCTAGCCAGGAGACTGGAAGCTGAAAGATTAAGACACAGCTACCTGAGGCAACAGGAGCCAGGAAGTCTCCCACAGGAAGCCCTTCTGTGCTGGACAGAGTTCACAAAAACCTGCCTGGAATCATAAACCGAAGCCAGCATGAAGCCTCAGTCTTACACCAAGGCTGAGCGGGAGGGGCCTGGATACGGCTCTAAGTTGACTTAAAGGAGGCAGCCAGGCTGAGAGCTCACTGTTCACGACCCAAAACTTCCCCGTGGAAAAGGTAAAAAGTCCTTCAGGGAGATTAATGAGTCTCAGGCTCGCTCATCTCCAACCAGGCCTGTGCTGCCTCAGCCAAGCTGTTAGCAGCACCTTGGGTTTTCTGGCAATGTAGGGACAATACAGTGTCTAGGTGACAACTTCATATTGAAGGCATGACATAGAGGAGACAAGGCTGGCCAGATCAGTCCACCCAGTGTGTCCCAGAAGGGGACTTTTGTCATACCGCCCCTCTGTGAAAGGCTGGGGCAATGAACACACTCAGAACTCACAGGTGAGTCGCTAAAGGTTCACAGGGACATCGAGTACACAGGAGATGCCAGTTCCAATGACTGCTTATCACTGTCAGAGCTCTGGTGAGCACACAGCCTTCTCCCCCGTTGCCAAACTACTCTTGCAGGCAAGGCCTGGGGCCCATTTCCCCCATAATCTCTGAGGAATTAGCACTGCAATTGGAGCCTCCTCACCCGGGATGTAGAACAAAGATTCTTTCAGGAGGCGCCTGTAGTGTCCTCTGCCCCACAGCAAAAGTCAGGTAGGAGATGCCAATCATGATGTCAAATAGATAAAGCCCTGTGCTGAAAACTCCAGAGTTACCACCCCCTTCGAGAGTTACTCAAATGCCTGTCCTTTGGGGATAGGCTCCCCAGCACCCATTAATCTATCTTCTGACATCCCCATCAAATGTTAAGCCCCAAAAGGCACTGGGGGTGGGGGTGGGGAGTCAATCTACAGCCAAACCCCAAACAAATCCTGAACGAGAGCTGTCCAGTGTTGTGGTCCACATGGCCTGCAGTTCTGCCCTCAAATCTAAACCCTGACCTACAAGCAGCCCCAGGAGTGTGGGGAAAACTACAGACAGGAGATAAGGGCGTGGGGTGTCCTCTGGGGCAAAACAAGGCCACAGGGGCAGGGGAGTGCAGAAGGAAGGACTCAGATAAGAGATTTAAAGATGTTACATTTGCTCAAGCTCCGCCTGCAGCGCTAGCCAGTTGAACACTATATAATCAGCCCTGGGGAAAAGAAAACCTTTATTGTTGAAGTGATGAGTCTTATGTCTACCGCGACCCTTCTCTCCAGGTCCGTGATGCCCACAGCTCTGCAGGTGTGGCAGCTCAGGATGCGACCACCACACTGTTGGCCAGCAGACAAAGAGGGTGATGGTACATTCTCTCCTACCAGAACAGGCCCCTTTGAGCAGGTCCACATCAGCCAGTGGTGATCCTGACCTACAACTGTCGCGCATAGCCCCGTCACCCATTCCAGTGTGGACAGAGTGCCATTGGCTCCCTGCACCTGGTTCTCGTGTTGCTAACTGTTTTTGTTTTTAAGACTGGGTTACACTATGTGTTTCTGGCTGGCTTGAACTCAGAAATCCTCCTGCCTCTGCCTCCCAAGTACGGTGCCACTGTGCCTGGTAATTCTCAGGCTTTTTACAGGGAATGTGTGGATCATGTGTCTGCAGGAACATTCAGAGTTCTTCTCCAGAGACTGCATGAAACAGCAAAAAGTATAGCCTAGGAGAACCCTCCAGTCAGACTCAGCAGGTGAGAGGAAGATGAAAGATGTCCAGATGAACCAGTCTGCACATGGCAGGAAGTCACTGCCAAGACTCAGGACCCCCCAAAATTGTGACCAGACTAAGAAGTTTAACAGGACAGATGGCCAGCGCACCTCACTGTTTGGCTGGAAGCGTCACCTCGGCCCCTAACATCCTTATCCAAAAAAAGTCTGGAATGTTTGGTTGGGGGCTTCACCCAGCTCCTGGCACCCATTAACACTCACCAAGAAGGAAATTGAGGCATTTCCCCAAATTCAATTCGGAGGGGACAGACTGGGGACTGGAGCTAGGTGTTAGTAAAAGGACACCAGCCCACAACAGTGACCTGCAAGGACTCAACTGAACTGGGCAGGAGCTCCTAATCAAATGTAAAAATCTGCCTTTGATCCCAGCATCAGGAGGCACAGGCTGGAAGATCTCTGTGAGTTCGAGGTCAGCCTCCTTTACAGAGTTAGTTCCAGGAACCAGGGATACAAAGAGAAACTCTGTGTCAAAACACAAAATAAAACAAAAACTTGCCTTTCCACTCCCCAGGGCTATCGTGAGGACTAAGGGATGACTAACACGGTTCTGGAGAGAAGTTGTGCAATTCTAAGGAGCTGTGTTAAAAGCCAGCAGGAGTTTCTTCCCTGAGTCTCCGACTGACAAGGCTCCATCAGAAAGCACGCCCGCCGCGGGGCAGCTCACTGCAAGCCAAAAGTTAACCCAACTCCCTGTCTATCTGTGTAACCTACAAAGCCAGATGGACTAGAAAAACAACCTCGGAGAAGTCCAAGTTTTAAAACAATACAACCTCAGAAATGGCCATTCTCCAAGGCCAGGGGACAGGCGAGGACATCTCCAAGGCCAGAACAGGGGGCCAATGCAGCCAGGGCACGCCAAACTCAGCGGGTGTCTCCCTCCCCAGAAGCAGGTAGAGGGTACAGAGCAGCTTCCCGTGGAGACCCGGAGGGGGTGCGCCGCGAACGAGGGCAGGAGGGACAAGACCCTGGGGTAAGGTCAAGTGATGCTTCCCAAGGGGGTCTGGGGAGCAAAGAGAGGCCGAGGACCTAAGAGGTCTCCAGAGCTTTCGAATCAATGGGTAGGGCCCCGGGCCTGGGTTGGGTCCAGGATCTCAGGGTACCGAGTTAGACCCAACTCAGGAGTGCGGAGAGCACACAGTCAGGGCCCGGGTCCAGGGCGTGCGGGGGCGGGGTCCTCACCGGCCGCCACATGTCCCCGGCAGCGGTCTCCTCTTGGTTTCGCCGCAGATGTCCCTGGTCCCCAGCCGACCCCGCGAGAGAGCAGGCAGTGCGCAGGCGCACCGGCCGGGCGCTCACTCCACGGCGCTGGGTAGCATGGAGGGGCCACGCCCCCAAGACGTGCAGGCCTCTGCCTCGCCGCAGCGCCCCCTTGAGGTCGCCAGCGGCATAGTATCATGGGAGAGCCCAGTTTCATGCTCAGAGCAAAGAGGCACTTCCGGGTTTGTATTTGTTTTTGTGTGTTTTTTTTTTTTTTTGTTTTGACTTGTTTGTTTTGTTTTCTTTAGGTTTTTCAAGACAGGGTTTCTATGTATAACAGCCCTGACTGTCCTGGAACTCACTCTGCAGACCAGGCTGGCCTCGAACTCAGAGATCCGCCTGCCTCTGCCTCCCGAGTGCTGGGATTAAAGGCGTGTGCCACCACCGACTGACCTGGGAACAATTTTCAAGAGTCAACTGTTTGTGGTTCCCGAGACAGGGTTGCTCTGTAGCCCTGGCTGTTCTGGACTGACAACTCACGGAGGTTTGTTTGCCTCTGTCTCGTGAGTGCTGGGATTTAAGGTGTGCGCCACCACTGCCTGGCAGACCCACCTTCTCAAGCAGGTCTAGTTTCTGTTGTGCTGTGCACACAGGCTGACTAGCCAACAAGCTCATGGACAGTCTCCTAGCTCCCCAACCTAGCTCATAGGGGTGCTTCTTACATGGTTCTAGGAACAGGGCTTCCTAGGGAGCAATTTTACCCACACAGCCATCTTCCCTGACCCTTGAATTGGCTCTTTAATTTTGTCAGGCTCACTGTCCTCCCTGAAGGTGGCAGCGTAACTCAAAGCCAACACTTGGTCATTTTCCTACAGCTCTCAGTGTTCACTGGCACAGGCAATGACAGTTGACGGCACCCTCCAGAGCCACACACTGAGCCAGAGACACCTTAGCTTTCTTGCCCACGATGAGAGACAGAGTCCGAGATCTCGTGTCCCCTGTTCTCCACTCTCTGTGACACCCATCTCATCTGCATGTATTCTTCTGGAGGGACTCATACCACCTGGCTCCCCGGAATTCCCCTGCTTTCCTGGCCACAGATGTCCCTCTAACCTTGCCACTTAGGGCAGAGAGACCATCTTGTGTTGATCACTTTGTTCTTTAAGACCGCCTCCTTTTTTTTTTTCTTCCATATTTGCCAGAGTTGGGAAGGTGCCTTCTAGGTTGGTAATGGAGCAGGTCCTAAGATTGTACCATGCCTTCAATCCCAAACTGGGTTTGAAGTGTCTGGCAGGAGGCAAAGAGTCAAATATGAGATGGGTACAAAGTTCTTGAGCCAGAGAATCTAGGTAAGTGGCACCTGTTTCAGGGTCGCCTCTTGCTGGAGCTTCCCAGGCCTGGGAAGTATTGGTTATAGCTGAGACGTGTGGGAGTAATTGGGGTGTGAGATGTCAGGGACAAAAAGGATGCAGGGTACACAAACCCCAAGACTAAATGGAAGAAGTGAGTGTTTCAAGACATGGCTATTCATAAAACAGATGGGAGAGGTAGGTGGAAGCAGAGGAAGACGGTCGGATTCAGATATACAGTAGGGAGCAGGTCAAAGTCCTCAGCCCTATGAGGTCACACCTGAATCATAAGACAGGCCAGCTAGTGGCCTGGGAGACTGTGATAATTTGAATATAATTGACCCTCTTAAGCTGATAGGAAGTGGTACTATTAGGAGGTGTGGCTTTGTTGGACTAGGTGTGGCCTTGGTGGAGGAAACGCATCACTGTGAGGGTGGGCTCTGAGGTCTCCTATGCTCAAACTCTCCTCAGCGTAGACACAGTTTCACTTCTTATTGCCTGTGGATCTTGATGTAAAAGCTCAGCTTCTCCAGCACCATGACTACCTGTCTGCTGCCATGTCCCGCCATGGTGACAATTACTAAACCTCTGAAACTGTACACCAACCCCAACACAATGTTTTCCTTTGTAAGCATTGCCGTGACCATGGTGTCTCTTTGGGGGAATACAACTTTTTTCTTTTTCTTTTTCTTTCTTTCTTTCTTTTTCTTTTTCTTTCTTTCTTTTTTTTTTTTTTTTTTTTTTTTTTTGGTTTTTCGAGACAAGGTTTCTCTATAGCTTTGGAGCCTGTCCTAGAATTCGCTTTTGTAGACCAGGCTGGCCTCGAACTCACAGAGATCCACCTGCCTCTGCCTCTCGAGTGCTGGGATTAAAGGTGTGCACCACCACCGCCCGGCTCTTCAGGGGAATAGAAACCCTAACTGAGACAGAAGCCTAGCTGAGAGCTAACAGGGACCTGTTGAAATGTCTTGGGCCCCAAAGTCATTCCTGAAAACGCCAGGACATCTATTTAACCCAAACCATTCCAAACATTATGGGGTGCAGTCTCTGTCAGCTGCCTGTCCCTGAGCATCTGCAGCTGAACCCCCACATTTCATGTTGTGTATTTTTGGTGCCGTCTGCCAAGATATACATAAAGTCACTCAGCAATACAGGAACCCAGTATAATCTCATAGTGCAAGTAATGGGCCTAGCCATGGACCTAAAAGCCAGGCTTGGAGCTGAGGTGATGAAGAATAGAGAAGGGACCCCATGATAGAGACACCGGAAGAGGGCACAGGGTGTTTGCAGATAAAACTGGCGCTGTGGAAGAGAAGAGCAGAAGGCCAGGCTATCCTAGGCTCCAGCCGGCACGGCAGGTAGGAAGGGTGACACTAACCTACCTGGAGGTGATGGTGCTTGACCCTGGGTGGAGGCACGCAAGCACCCACATGGACTGTCCAGACACTTAGTCCTGTGCTTTGGCCAGGAGCCACCTCTAAGCCATGAGACAGCAGGAGCCAGCAAACACAGGGGTCTCCAACGGCAGAGTTCTTTCCTTGCTAAGAGGACAGCAGAGACTCCTTGTGGCCCAGTGCTTAGTCCTACTCTGGCTAGGGCTCCTCCCGTGGGTTCCTCCCCCACACTGGAAGGCTGTGGCCATTCTCTCATAGTGTATTCCTCCCCTCATATATGCTTGCCAAACACCCAACATTTTGCCCCCAGACCTTGATATGCAGATAGAGAAGGCCGAGGCGCAGTGCCCAACTCTCAGGACCTTAGACCCAAAGGCTACCACCACCAGGACCCTGCTATGTGAAGGCCTCTCCTCTGAGCCAACCGCCAGCAACTGCAGGAGTTTTGGAGGGCCTGCTCAGAAAAGATCACTTGTCTGCCTTCCCTCAGAGAGGTGGGCAGGTAAAGGGGGTCGTGGGACCCTCACCACAGTATCCAGCTACCACTCCCAATCATCTGGGTGCAATTTTGCCCTTCTTGCCTGTGTCCTTGAGGCCCTGGAGAAGCAGTTAGAGGAGAGAGATAGGGAAGAACTAGGGGAGGGGAGGAGCTCCATCTCTGTCTATGGGAAAGCCACCTTTCTGTTGGTTAGGGCTTCTCAGTGCAGACTCTTGGACGGGAACACCCACACGCCACTAAGTGACCCCTCACCCAGGCTCTGTAAGGAAGCCTGATAAACCTACTGGTTCCCCAGAGTGAACTTCAGAAGATCATTCCTGGGGTTGTCACTGGGACCTCAGGAGGAGGTTGGGGGGTACAGTTCCCCAGAAGATTCAGGTCTTTCCCACCTGCCTTTCCTAGTCCAAACATCCCTGGCCCATTGACTCCATCCCCTCCTGGTCTGTCCCTCATGTCTCAGGCTTGGCCCTGTCCTCTCTGGGTAGGACTGGGTCGCTTTCTTCTGTACCCACAATGATCTCACCCACTGCATCAGCACAGATGAACTCACGTGCTTGGATTCGCATCTGCAATTGCAAGCAAGTCTTCTCTTTCTTTCTTAGTACGCTGATTTTTGGACTGGTCCTATGGCAAGACCTACTAGTTCTTACTGGTAGAATGCAGGCATACAGATGCCCTGTGTGGTCTTGTTTCTTATACTTCTCAGGTGACCTTTCAGCCACCCCCCCCCCCCGCCAGTGGTTAGGGTTTCGATGACCACCCAGGGCCTCTCAGTCCTTCTATAGCAGGTCCAGCTCCAGTTTATTCCTAATCTCCCTTCTACCGTGCCCTGCCCCACATGACAGCCCATCCCCAGCTGCCGCCCCTGGGACCCATGGTCCCCGTTCCCTCTCTATCTCCACACCTCCTTCATTCCCCACATCTTCCACTGAAAGGCAGCAAAGAAGCCTCTGACAGAGAACTGGATCCACCGCCTCTGCCTCCCAAGTGCCGGGATGAAAGGCGTGAGCCACCACCACCTGGCAAAATAAACCATAAAATTAAAAAAGAGTGAAAATGGTTCTAGAGATCATTACGTTGCCTTTGTGCTATTTCATTTTTTAGGTGTGTGTGTGTGTGTGTGTGTGTGTGTGCATAGAAGCCAGAAGGGGCTGGAGTTACAGATGTCATTGGGTTTTGTTTGTTTGGTTTTGTAAGTGCTCTATTTGCATGTACACCTTTATGCCAGAAGAGGGCATCAGATCCCACTATACATAGCTGTGAGCTTTACTGGGAATTGAGCTCAAGGCCTCCGGAATTGAGCTCAGCCTGTGCTCTCAAGTGCTGAGCCATCTCCGCAGTCCCTGGAGCTACAGATGTTTGTGGGACACCAAAGCTTCAACAATGAAAAGAATTTCAGAGCCAGGCAGTGGTAGCGCACACCTTTAATTCCAGCACTCAGGAGGCAGAAGCAGGTGGATCCAGGCCAGCTCTGTCTACAGAGCAAGTTCCAGAACAGGCTCCAAAGCTACACAGAGAAAACAAAAAAGAAAAACAAAAAAGAAAAGGATTTCAGAACTAGCCATTATGATGAAGCAATGTTGGAGATTCTAATAAAGCTATTTAATCATTGGGATAAGAGAGGAAGAGAGGGACTTAAGGGGAAAATGGAGCAGACCAAGAGCATGGATGTGGACTTCTCTGGGGGCAGTTGAAGAAAACAGGACAGACCCAAGTACAGGTTTGGACTCCTCAAGGCAGGCCACAGAGAGTGGTGCAGACACCAGTGGAAGATGAGCTCTATTTTATCATTAAAGGTTATTTTGATTTGCTCATAGTAAGATTTATAAGCAATGCCTTTAAATAACTGTGTTTAATAAAGACCGAGTACTTAGGGAAATCGACAGCTTGAGATTTACTTAAAACTATTTATTTTGTGTCCGAGTTACAGCTGAATGTCAAATGAAAGTTATTGATTTTTTAAAAATAAATAGATTATTATTTATTGATTTATTGATTTATTTATTGATTTATTTATTTATTATGCAGTGTTCTGCCTGCACGCCAGAAGAGGGCACCAGATCATCTGCTGGAAACTGAACTCAACACCTCTGAAAGAGCAGCCAGTGCTCTTACCCTCTTGAGCCATCTCTCCAGCCCCAAGTTACTGATTTTTTTTAAATGCTGATCTGTTCTTCATACTATTTTTAATTTTTTCCTTTTTCTTTTCCCTTTGGTCCTTCTTTCCTTCCTTTCTTTGTAGTTTTTCAAGATATGGTTTCTCTGTGTAGCCCTGGCTGTCCTGAAACTATCACTCTGTAGCCCAGGCTGAACTCACAGAGATCTGGCTGCCTCTGCCTTCCAAGTACTGGGATTAAAGGCATGTGCCATCATGTCCAGCAATGTATCTATTTTTTAAGGTTTATTTATTTCATATGTATGGGTGTTTTGTGTGCATAGATGTTGTGTGTACTTCATGTGTACAGAGACCAGAAGAGGGCATCAGATCTCCTGGGACTGTACTTACAGGTGGTTATGAGTTGGTTGTGAGGTGGCTGTGAGCTGGTTGTGAGTTGTTGTAGGTGCTGGAAAGTGAACCTGGTTCGTCTGTAACAGCAGCAAGGACTGTCAACCTCTTGCCTTAACTTAAGAGGTCATTCCAGGTCTTCTCCTCCCCCTCTTCTTTAAACACAAACAAAAAGGTTTGAAGTATTACATCATGAGCCTGGTACTCTAAGACACTGTTCACTTGAAGACATCAGATATACAGCCTGGAAAAATCAGGCCATGCAGCCTTCTGCAATTTGTCCCTGGAGAGCACCCTTCTTTGAACACACAGATCTCTGAAGGGAAGAAAAAAAAAGGCGAACCCAGCCCCTAAAAATCTATGAAAGCCAAAATACCCCTTGTTGGGTTTCTCTGAATGCCTGGCACCATCACGCTCCCCGTGGTGGCTCTCCCTTCTCTTCTGCTTTAAGCCATCTCTCAGAAGGCCTAGAGTGCTGTCCACTCTCACCTCCCGCCAGGCTGCCTCTCCAGTGATGTGCGGCACCTCCCAGGGCTCTCTCCCCTCCAGGCCTGATCCTGGCCCCTAATAAGATCCATTCTGTAACTGGCCTCAGCTTCCTTCTCTATGATCTAACCATACCTGCCTTCTCATTATTTGTTATAACAAGCTCCTGAGCTCCTGGATGGACAGTCGGGGAGTAAGACACATCCAGGTGTACTAACTCAAAAGACAGTAGCAATTTTCTCAGTATTAACTGCATAAACTTAACTTTTTTTTTTTTTTTTTTTTTGGTGTTTCAAGACAGGGTTTCTCTGTGTAGCCCTAGTTGTCCTGGAACTAGCTCTTGGCCTTGAACTCATAGAGATCCACCTGCCGCTGCCTCCCGAATGCTGGGTTTAAAGGTGTGCACCACCACCACCCGGCATCTTTGGGTGGTTCTTAAATTACATATCAAAAGGAAATAAGTGAGGTGACTCTGGAGATGCCCTGTAAAGAATTATAAAATATAAAACTCACTCTACAGACCAGGCTGGCCTTGAACCCAGAGGTCTGCCTGCCTCTGCTTCCTGAGTGCTGGGATTAAAGACATGTGTCACCAATGCTTGGCTTTACTGAGTTTCTATCTAGCCTCAAAATGGGGCAATATAGCTGGGTGGTGGTGGCACACACCTTTAATCTCAGCACTTAGAAGGCAGAGTAGGTGGATCTCTGTGAGTTCGAGACCAGCCTGGTCTACAAGAGCTAGTTCCAGGACAGGCTCCAAAACCACAGAGAAACCCTGTCTCGAAAAACCAAAAATAATAATAATAATAATAATAATAATAATAATAATAATAAAATAAAAATATAATAAAATAAATAAAAATAAAAAATAAAGAAAAATCTTTCTCAGCTTAATTTTTTGCTGCTATGTATGGCGTGCTACAACGTATACAGCTTTATGCCAGGAACTCCCTAAAAGGTAAGAAGCCATGCTAACAATGAACCAAATGCATGATAGCAAGATGTTATTGTTTTATATGGTACAGATCTTACAGTGGGAAATGATGTGGGACAAGAGGGACGATGGGAGGGAAGCTGTTTTGTTTGTTTGTTTGCAGAATGAATATAGATTAAGGAAAAGTGAGACCGAACCTCTGAGAGATGGAGAGATTCCCAGGGAGCAGTTACTCCCCTGACTTATACGTCCTTCGTCCTGTAGAAGGGGTCTGCACATACATACACTCAATTGTCCAATAATCCTGCTGCTGATTCGTTCTAAGTTAACCCTTAGCCCTGGCAACACTGCAGGAGGAACACAGGGCTCGGCAGGCTTGTAGATGTGCAACCCCAGCCGCACAGACCATAATGAGGAAAAAGTGCAGGGGGAGCCACGCCAACAGGATGACTCCCAGGGACAAGTCTGGACACCTTGGCCAGAGGGACGAGGCTAACCTTTGGAATGATTAACCACCTTGATTTGTACCCCAGAGATAATCTGCTGCCCTGAGATGAGGCTCACACCTTATCTCCAGGAAGTTAATCTGCTGCCTTCCCAGAAATAAAGTGCACACAGAACTGCTTCCTGCTTCTGTCCCTTGGCATCTGTGCTGGCAGGCCACGCGACCTCTGACCTCTGGCATTCAGGCTGAAGATTGGCCGCAAGTGACAGGAGATAAAACTGAGACACAGTGGAGCACTCAGGTCCAAAGGCTAAAAAGAGCTCACGCTAAGATTACAACAGGTACAACACAGAGATCCCGTTTCAAAGCTGTGCACTAAACTGATGGCGGAGGCTGTGGATTTTGGAACTCTCTTTGTGGATCATGCAGAGCAGACAGATGTGTGATTAGCAGAATTATCGGAAATGTACACGTAGCACTTAACCTTGATCGAATGGCATCTGTCATTCCTGTAGAGGGAATAACAATGGAAATCAGACGAGTTCATCAGTGGAAAACCTGTCCACCCAGGAAGCTCATCGCACGGATAAACCGGCATAGCGATCTAAGGTTCTTTATCCTGGCTATAAAAGGCAGACACAAAAGGCCGGGCAGAATCAAGGACATACAATAAGCATGGCTTCAAAAATTATTTTTGCCTGGGCGGTGGTGGTGCATGCCTTTAATCCTAGTACTTGGGAAGCAGAGGCAGGTGGATGTCAGTGAGTTTGCGGCCAGCCTGGTCTTCAGAGTGAGTTCCAGAACAGCCAGGGCTACACAGAGAAACCCTATCTCGAAACAAAACGAATCAAAACGAATTACTTTTAGATTTATTTATTTTATTTGACACACAAGAGTATTTGGCCTGCATATGTGTGTCCACCATGTGTGTGCCTAGTATTTGTAGAAGCAAGAACTCTGGAACTGGCATTACAGAGAGTCGTGAGCCACTGCGTGGGTGCTGGGAACAGAACCCGGGTCCTCTGGAAGAGTAGACAGTCTTCTTAGCACTGTACGAACCCTCTCCCCAGTCCCAAGAAATGTCTTTATAAGGTCATTTCAAGGCTGGCCTTGAGTTTATAGACATCCTCCTGCCTCTGGATCTGTCTCTTGAGTGCTGGGATTAAAGGCACCCTACACCACGCTTGGCCCTAGCCTATAGATCTTAATTAACATCCATCTACCCGTTGAAAAGGATAATCTTGGTTTTTTTCTATGTACTAGGCATATTCTTTGAGAGCTTGTTGTGATCTGTCAGTTATAGAGGGTTAAAGCTTGGCCTTTGTTATACACAGGCACAGCTGAATATAGAGAGGGGCACCCATGGGGCACCTGCGGGCATAGACTCAGAGCTTAATAAGGGGTTGCACCTGCAGGCTCTAGGGAGGACTGTCCGTGATCTTGTCCTCCAGGTAAGTGGAGTCTCCTGGCAAAGCATCTCTTTAACGTATTGTTATCGTCTGTGTGAGTCTATGAACGGGTACTTGAGCCCCGGTGCGCGTGAGGTCAGAGGACAGCTCTGTGGAGTCCCTACTCTCCTTACACCTTCATGTGGATTCCCGGGATCCAACTCAGGTGGCCGGGCTTCAGTAGCAGATATTTTTACTCACCGAGCCCTCCCACCAGCTCCCTGGAAAAGCCTTCTAATGGATAACTTTGGGATCTGATTAGCCCCCTTGATCTCTCCATGGGATGAGGTCTGTAGTGGTCAGGGTGTGCCCTGCTCCAAGGCAGTCCATAGCAAGCCAAGCAAGCTGTGGCTTTCGGGACCATGCTGCCCCAACAGGCTCCATTTTACTCGACTTTGAGGATAGAGTCCTGACCTTCTGAACTGCCCATCCTCCAGTTCACCTGTTTGGAGCCACTGTCTGTGTGAGGGGCTAGGAGCTTAACAGACCCCCTGATAGGCTGCTGGATTGGGGTTTACCTAAGTAATAAGTAATAAATAATTACAGAGCTGGTCATAAAGGTGGCAAACTTCCAAAATGAATGGCTTCTTCTTCCCTCTCCTGATCCAGACATAATTTTGCTAGCTTAAAACAAAGCCCTTTTCTCCTGCTTGTAGGGCCTGAAGCTGATGGACTGACTGGCTTAGCAAGTCAGCTTAGGCGATGCTGCTTACATAACCTTTGTGAGCCAAACAGTCATTTGAATTCAAACTGATCAACCGCAAATTAGGGGAGGAAGACCTTTCAAAGTGTTTTTGTTTTTTTATAAATGGGAAGAGATAGACTGTTGTTTCTTTTTTTTTAATTTACTTATTTGTTATGTATACAGTGTTGACATCAGATCTCATTATAGATGGTTGTGAGTCACCATGTGGTTGCTGGGAATTGAAGTCAGGACCTCTGGAAGAACAGTCAGTGCTCTTAACCGCTGAGCCATCTTTCCAGTCCTTGTTTTTGTTTTTGAGACAAGGTTTCTCTGTTTCTTTGGAGTCAGTCCTGGAACTAGCACTTGTAGACCAGGCTGGCCTCGAACTCACAGAGCTCTGCCTGCCTCTCTAAGGTTTGTTTTTTTTTAAAACAAACAAACAAACAGCAAAAACAACAACAAAAACCAAAAAAACCCAGCCCTCAAGAAAAAATTGGGCTGTGGCTCTCTCTGTACCCTCTGCTTTGTGGAGGGTCTTTCTCTCTGGGTCTCTCGGTGTGCTTTCCTCACCTCTAACAAAACTTTTCTTCTGATGCTGACTGGGGACCATTCCTGTTTGCTGCGTTCATGATCTCTCCAATGCTGCCTCTCATGCTTGAGATTTCCCCTCCATCCATTCATTTATTTTAGTTTTTTTTCGAGACAGGGTTTCTCTGTGTAGTCCTGGCTGTCCTGGAATTTGCTTTCTAGACCAGGCTGGCCTTGAACTCATGGGGATCCACCTGTCTCTGCCTCCTAAATACTGGGACTAAAAGCATTTGCCATCACACCCCTCTTTTCCTTCCTTTTAATTCTTTAATCTTCAGAAAAAAAATGAA